GTTAAATCATTTACTGTGTAACAAAAAAAATGTGTTCCTGGGGAGCGTTATTTCCTAATTGCTTATGCCTCAAAAGTACAGAAAACGGCTATTATTCCCCACAAACTTTGCTTTTGTGATCAGGACAGTGATATTTTGAAATTTACCTGTTTTCAATGAGAAAACGTGGTGTGCATTTGTGTCATTCCTTCACGTAAAGTCCTGTTCACAAAAGCAAAGTTTGTGGGGAATAATAATAGGCATTTTCTATACTTTTTAGGAATAAGCAATAAAGAAAATAACACTTATTACCCAGGAACAAAAATCGTGTTACATAGTGATAATTATAATCAGCGAGATGAACCGCTCACCACTTATCAGTGTACCTCCAATTGCACAAAAATAGCAATTCGTTTTGGGAAAATTTCAGTTTTGGGCAACAACGAACACCTGTGTAAAAAAGTTAAACTTTCGACTCCGTTTGGCAAACTGCTGTGCTGCATTTTATAGATGCACGTTCAAAATAAAAAATAATACATCTCACGGAGCCCTGCATGATGGTAATTAAAGTTTGTTAATTAAAAGGAGATTAGAAACCATAACTTAAACGCGGGAAATTAATGTGTTTTCATGCACGGTACAATCTACTTAATAAATGCTGCTATCAGTTGTATCAGTCTGAAATCTAATCAACAGCCATTGACTATCCACTGCTGGATGAAGACCTCCCAAAGCTACCGCCATATATAATGTATGCCCTTAAGTGTGAATGTTTTGAACCAAATAGCTCTTTTCAACAATTTGTTCTTGGTTATTCAATTTGATTTTGAAGCTTTGTTAATGATAAAAAAAATACTTTTAAACCAATGTAAGACTTGTCCAACATCAATCAGCACCGATATCACTGCTCCGATGTTGTATTACAGCATTGCTAGTGAGGTTACCGTCACATCAATAGCACGCCACGAAGCCACGCATGACTGGACTCTAAAGTATTCTTCTTCCTATTAAACTCGTTTAAGGACGTGAGCTAATAGGTGTTTATTTTCGTTGGGGTAAATTCTTGCTTTACATGGGAGGAATAGGGCATGAAAGGTTCCTGTCCGCGACAAACACTCACAAACAACACAGCTTCCACACACGTGCTTCACAGTGGAGATGTCTGATAGTGCCGGGGGGAGGGGGGGCGGTGGAGTGGGGGGTCTGGGAGGGGGGGGAGATTTATACATTGAAATAATACTACTCAGACAGGGGTAAGAATTAAAAACATAAACATCAATAACAACTCTACTATTATGACTACTACACTTTTCGACAAAAACTGTCGTCTCCTGGCGCAAGCGTCGCGCGCCGGCCCTGAGCTGGATAGCCACTCCCGTGTGTGCCACTTTCGAGGGAGGAGAGCGCCTCACTGTCAGACCCGCACGCAAACAGTGGGCTCAAGATGCCCTCTTTTTCCCCCGTTTTCCTTTCTCTTTTCAGTCTCGACGATCGATACATCTCGCTGTAATCTCCCCATTTGGCCAGCCTCCTTTTGGCAAGGGCTGCTTCCTTTTCGAAGTATATTGACCGACGAAATATTTTTTTTTGTACAAAATTTATTTTGTAAACTCTTTGTTCTTCCCGTATTATTGTCACCGTTTGCGATTCCTTTTCGTCAGTAACCTCCGAGGTAGGAGCGTGGACAGGGATGTTGCCGAGAGCGATGGAAAGCGAGCCCGCGTGTGTCACGCGCACGCATGTCAAAAGGAACACGATGTCTGAAGCGAGTAATTGAATTCGCGCGGTCATTTGCGCGCCAAAATACCCCCGTGAAAATATTTTCTGGCCAAACAATAAAACATACGGACGAAAGCAAACACAGAACGTGCCACGCATTTCCGCAAAATGCGCTGGCGTCAAATTATAGCTTTTACCGATTTCTGCCTATCATCATCCCATTGTAAGCTTTGCAATGTTATTGTTCCATAGAGTGGTCCAGATGTCTTGTGACTCACAACTGATTGACCCCCTAACATTGTTTTTCCTTTGCATATTCATTTTTCCATAAACTTTCCTTAAAAATATTACGTTTTTAGAGAATTAAACGGGGGTAAAAAGACATCTGGGCCACCCGGTACATATGACAAAACGTTTATTCGCGACAGCCCACCGAACTCACCCACCCACCCTCCCTCATCTCGTCCTGTCTTCCTCCCACACTCAAAGACTCCACGCTCCACACAGGGGTTGGATCTTCTCGACAGGTCGCACAATTATCTTCGACATCCACATCGTTTCACGCGCGCCTTTCTCCCAAAACAGGTCAATATATGGACGGGCGGACAACACGCAGTGACACGCATGCAGTTGGCCCAATCATGTAATGCGTAAAAAAGCAAATTAAAGAGCTTAGATTAGCCTCTGCTTTCCTTCACTGGCCTCCAGCGTGTTGCCTTTCATCACGGAGAAATAAGCACCCTGATTTGACGCGATCCGAGAACGTTATCTGGTTCCCCGTGTTGTTTTTTCCTTTGTAAATCATGACTATTTGAATAACATTTATAAATAGGATGGATACAAATGCATACGTCCTCCCAAAAAAAAAACACGTCTTACACACGATATGGGACGCATAATTCTACTTTTGGGGATAAATGCATTTAGAGCAGAGATAATATATTTAAATATGAAATAAGCTATGCATGCGCTGGCTGAGTGCTCAGCTCATTCTACTATGAACCTGGTGACCTGAGTATGATTCCCAGCTATGGCCAACACGAGAGGCAAGTGACATCCAAATGGGTCCTGGGTGCTCCATTCAGCAAATCACACTGACCAGCGTGGCGAAGTATGGTCAAACAACCCCAGTGGCTAAACACGGTGTGGGGGAAGCATTGATCCACCAGAGGATTCACAAAAGGATTACATTATTTATTTTTATTATAGCCTATATGTGAGGGATTGTATCCAATCACAGACAGTTCTAAATGAGATGCTACTGCAAAAGACGATACATTAATGACAGTACACAAGTCAAGTAATGGCCATTAAAGAGAAACATTTCCAATCTTTTAAAAACAGTAAAAGTAACGCAACTTATTCGAATGAAAAACAAGGAAATTTGATGCGAATAAGCAAGACATTTCTCCTACATCTGAACGGGCACTCAGTGTACTTATTCTGCTGCAGAAAAAAAAAGAAGAGCCCACGTGTGAGCGGCTCACGAAATGAAAAGTCTTAAGGGTGCGGGGAGGGGTACTTTCCTGCCTCTCTCTTTGGCGTCGGCCGATTAGCATTCCGAGTGGATCGCAAAGCACAAACTGCGCCGGCGACAGCGTAAATAACATGAAGGACGCCAACCACACGCCGCCTTGAGCAACATCCATTGAAACTCCCTTCCCCCTCCGTGCCTTTGCTCCCTTCTCATGAGCGAGGGACACAGCGGTAGTTTGAGTTGTGATGTGTGGATGGCAGGTGTGTGTGTGAAAATGCATCGTGGTGAGGCCCTTGGTTTCCACCAAAATTTACTTCGTGTAAAAATAAATAAGTACTGTCCAGGTATATGGCCCATTTTCTCAATGCGCTGCTGGATGAGGCCTTCCCCGATACCACGCAGTTTGTCGGGGGGGGGGAGGTTATTTGGCCATACTTCACCACGCTGGTCAGTGCGTGTCGCTGAAGGCGGGTGGCATAGGCGAGGGAGCATAAAGATATGGTACAACAATCGACTTTTCTGTACTGCCCTATGTTGCCCGCAACCCCGCATCCTATAACACCTGTCATGCATGGTCGTTGACCATCCAGATGAAACGAGACAACATAAAATATGATGGTACTAAAGTATTTTTTTTAGTTAATAATCACCCCATTGGTGACAATTCATCTAATCGCTAGGAGATTATAATTTCATAAACTATCCGTTCCCAGTTCAGGTGTTTCGTTCTCATTTGCATGCTTTGGAGTTATCCACACACACTCTGGATTCCTCCCACACACATACACACAAAATCACTCACAAGGAAATTGACCCAATCATGTTTAAACAGGGTCCTCTTGAAAAAAAAGTGTTATTACTCAGCCATGCTCTCCTGGATAAATAGTAAAATGGAAAGAAAAAAACCACTCGTTAAAAATGAAATCGGGTAAATATCTCAATGCAGACCTCTCCTGAATAAGTATTGAGATGCAGTATCTTGCCTGGAAAAATAAAGGACATTTCTATCATATAAAAAACAAAGCAGTTGTACAGGTACATAACCTCTGACCTGTGTGTCCAGGGATGTCTGACACACGTTTGAAACTTTGTTATTTTTTTTTAAAACCCTCTTCTTGTGATGATCATCAAACATGCTCTAGTTAGTGGTGGCACTGGAGTGACAAGGGAGGTGCATTACGGTGGCCACTTGTCTGGCCTTGTCCCATACATTCCAGAAATTGGCATCTTAGTGTTCGGGTGGCATCAATTGATTTGTACCAAGATCTTGGTGATATTGTGTTGAACGTTATCACAGTATAATGCCCAGTTTCAATTGAGCTGGGCTGACTGACAAATATGCCCGGGTTTGGTCTAAAGTGGACAAAGGTAGCAACACTATGTGGGTGTGGCCTGCACAAACAAAACAAAGATCCCCTGTATAACCTTAAACAGACTGTTGGGGCAAGTGCTGTTAGCGAGCATCTATGAAGGCCAGAACGGTACACAAGGGGGTGAGTGGCCAGCACCACGCCCGACTGACTCTGCCTCCCTAGTGGCGATGTTTACATACTGCACCAGGTACTCATTTGAAGCTGAGTCGACCTAGGGAAAGCCCAGGACCAGTTCAGATAATCGTCACTGGTGTTGGCCATTAGTAGGACTCAAACCCGGGACGCCGGGTTCATAGCGCAGCAACGCTAACCACCGGCCTATACAACACGTGCACACACACACACATGCCCAGCTGCCTTTGTCTCAACCTTCATTCTTACGGTGACGACGCCTCCCACGAAATAGTACTCGCGTGAGGGCGCCTTAGAACCTTATATACCGGTTCACCTACCGATGCAGTGCTGTCGTAGAACCCGCAGGTTGTTTGTCTGAGAGCAGACCTCATCGTTATCGCCTCCCTCCTTCTCCCCGTCGCCGTGGGCGATCGCGGCCATGCTCCTGTCCCCACCGCCGGCCTCGATGGCGCCCACGGCCGAGCGGGCGCAGCTCACCGCCAGCTCAAGCTGCTCATCGTCGTCATCGTCGCACTCTTCAAAATCGTCCGCGTATTCGACCGCCTCCTCGCAGCTGCCTGGTGGGGTTTTGGATGGAAATGAAGAGCGACGTCGTGACCAAGTGATTCCGTCTCGATATGGAACCATCGTCAGAGCTGATACTGAACCCCTGACTGACCTGTGATAGAGAAACTTCACCTCCTCTGATATTCAATGCCTCGTCACACCCGATAGATAACTCCTGACCCATCAAATACAGAACCCACATCTGATCTGATACAGAATTCTTGACCCATCTCATACAGAACACTCATCTCATCTGTAACATAATTCTTAACTCAAACTGATATCAAACCCTTATCTCATCAGATAAAGAACCCTTGACCAAAATAACACTGAACCTTTGGCCCATCCTATAGATAAATATTAGCCTCTATGATACAGAACCCACATCTCATCCAATATAGAAATCGTGGCCTATGCAATACAGAGCCTACATATGTTTCTGATAAAGAGCCATAATCCCATCTGGTATAAAACCCAAATCCCATGACTCAGCCAATACAGAACTCTTACCTCATCCGATATATGAATATAATCTTATCAATACAGAACTTTAATCTCATCCGATACAGGACCATTGACCTATTTGGTGCTGAGCTTATGATTTGGGAGGGTCATAGTGTAAACGCCGATTTCGGCTCATAGTAAAGACAACAAATGTCAAGAAAAAGTATGCACTTTGCAAGATGTCGCAAAATTGTAACCTGCATGATTTAGCGCTGCACGAGTGACTTTAACCACTCACACAATTCCTAAAGTTCAACCGACATCAAAAGAGGAAATATTTTTGTTACATTGTGACTATAAAATGATTATCATACATAAGCTGAACATATTGCTAATTTTGCACTACGCATAATTAAGTTTATTTGCTAAATTAAAATATATACTCGTAGACACACACACACATTTAACGGCAGCGCACACACGCACAACACTTATAGATATTAAATGATTATCTTATGCAAGCGACTCATTAATCAGGCACTGTGTTTCCAAGCCACCAGGGCCTACCGATTAATCTTCATCAATTACCGTCGTGCGTGTTTATTTTTATCGCGCTCCGCACACTTTCCCCTTAGGTGAGACACGTTATTTCTATTAACAAACATTGCATACGATTATACCTGGCAAGCACCGTCACACACACGCACGCGCACACGTACAGCGCGCGTTCCACACTTCATTGATGTGCTCTAATCACCGCCTCATCCGCGGTTTTTCCTGCCGTTGTTTACACCCAAGGATACCCTTGGGACCGCAAAAAAAACATCTCGTTTCTGCAATGGACTTAACACGGGCCGTGCTAAAAGAAGGAAAGGATTTGAGTGATTGATTGCCACGTTAGGCAGTAACCTGGGGGGGGGGGGGGGGTAAGTTTCTCCCAAACAGTGCCGTTTAATTTTCTTCCCCTAACCCACAACTGCCAGTGTACTCGTGGATTAATCCAATTTATATATATATTATCATCGTCTTTATCACTTCATCATCAATATCATTGTTATCATATCCATCAATACCATCATAATTATCACCGTATTCATCGTCGTTGTCGTCATCAACATCATCATCAATATCATGAATATCATCATGGTGATCATTGCTGTCCGTATGATTGTCATCGTCACTGTGATGCTTTTGGGCTCTGTAAAATAAGCACTACTTGGAGAGACTGCACAACTCGGTGTGGGGGGGGGGGGGCAGTGGTGGTGGTTGAAAGCGAAACGAACGTGGAAATTTCCACACAGTGGCTCGTTTTGCTCACCGGGGACCCAGCTCTCGTTTGAGCGAAGGTGATACCAGCGCGGAGTCCGTTAATGAATTTCCCTGCAGCCCCCCCCCATCCCCCTCGGCTCCCCGACCCCCCTACCTCCACGGGGGTACGCAGAAGAACACGCTAAACGTGCGGCGTAACACCAAGAAATAAATAACGAGAAGAAATGTACAAAGCCTTACTCTGCACTTTGTTAGTGATCAGAGGGATAGCGTCCCCACCAGCTGGGAACTTGTTTTATGATCGGATTGTAAATTCGCGGCTGCAATATCCGCGTAGGCAAGCGCACGGATTGGGCTGAGACATCTCACGCTAACCTCTGGATAACACGCACGATGGGATCGGAAGATGACTACCTCTTTATCTGTGTACCTACTGATGTATGTAACCACATACCTATCTGGATACCTGCCTACCTCGCTGGATATCTGTCAACATTCCTACCTGCCTAGCCCATTCCCTACCTATCTACATCCATACCTACCTGCCCACTTACATACTAATTCACATAACCAGGTGGATACCGACCCACCCACCTACCTACCCACTTAACTAACACCTACTTACCAACTTACCTATGTATCTGCATACCTATTTAATTAAACACCTACCTACTTACCTATAAATCTATCTGGCTAAGTAACCACCGACCTACTTACTTGCTACCGTGCCTACTCACTCACCTACCTACAAACCTGCCTACCTACTCTACCCACCGACCTGATCACCTATCAACCTGTATACCTGCCTACCCACACACATACCTATTAACCCACCGACATACTTATAACCGACCTACATACTTATCTATCTATCCATTCAACCAACTACATACCTTCCTATGCACCCACATAATTAACTACAAAACCCCATCCGCCCTACTTACCTATAAACCTATCAACCGATATTCCTACCCAGCTCCATAATCTATACCAACCTACCTAACATAAGCCATTTCAGGCATGGAACGCTAACATCAAACAACATAAGGAAGAAAAAGAGCAAATGCCAGATGGGACAATGCGCTTTTAAATAAGCGAGCGAGGGTGTAAACGCCATCTGTAGCATCTACAAATCTGAACTAAAATGAATTTGTCCCTGCGGCTCCTCTCCAGTGTCGCCTTATTAAACCTTGATTAAAGGAACACGACAGTCCCAATAAATGAACAACTCTTATCGCAATAGCAGCCACACACACACACACAGACAGGCTGTGTGTCCCGGGCTATCCCGTACAAGTTTGAACGTTTCCTTGAAAGTGGATTTAATAAATGTGCTCATGTGACATCAGCACACAGGTGAATAAAGAAAGCTAACCAAACAGCTGTACAACATCACCAGAGCATACCACGAGACTAGAAATATTTCCTCTCGCTAACGAAGCTTTGACATCTGACAGCCCAGGCGCACGCAGCCCTAGGTACGTATCTACAAGCCTCCGGAGCCACCGGTGTTCGCTTCGCATTTTAAATGACTAGTCAGCTGGCGCCATTGTAGGCGCGTTTCTCTTGCACGTTTACAGCACGGAGTCTATGCATTTATTAATTTACTTTAACACACAGAAAGCTTTACTTCACAATGCCCATGGCATTTCCGCAGAATCTCAGCTCGGGCCTCGATGTGATCAATTCTATTAGCAAGCGTGAAACAAAACAAGAGAACACCGCGCACGAGTAGGCGGGCTAGCGGCAATGCAACACACACTAACACCAGGGACACCTTTAAAAGGCCACGCTGACACAACGTGCCTCTGAATGCATTTCAAGTTAAAGGTGGCCCAGGGAAGAAGTAAAGAGGGAGAGAAAAAAAATACATTGAGCATTAATAATAATCAAACGAATAAGATATGAAGGTCGACACGAGTGCACAAAGATGGGATGGACGGCAGGAGAGGGCCCAATGTGGACGCCGTGGCATTATGGCCTTGATGGCGTGACAGTCTTATGCAAAGTACAACCCCGCAGAACCATTTTCCCATTTTATCGCTGAGAAAAGGCACGGGCATTAATCACCGAGACATTGGAGCGCACAAATCTAATGTAAAAAAGTACTTTAAGCTTTGCCAAGGCGCGGCGCCATTAGATAAAGCGTGGTTCCGGACCACAGCTCATGTCTAAAGGTATTAAAGCACTCATCGGTTAAAGAATGTGGTGGTAAATTTGCTCGTTGGTCGAGGCAGCTCAGGTTTGGACGAAAAACATTACATCTGTCTGGCCTCAGTCCAAGGAAACAAGGAAGCAAAATGAATTTCTGTGCCTTCGCTTGCACACTGACAGCCAACTATCTTGTGGCAACGCAAGATAACGCAGGTCGGATATATAAATAATTAACACCTGCCAGCGGTGGTGGCATCAAATGAAAGTCGGTCACGGGGGCTGTCGCGGCGAAAGCTAAAGCCGTCCCTCGCACCATCGCTGCAATAAGGAGCGGGGCAGCGTTATCTGCAAGTCCTTTATTTCCAATTATTTTTTTCTCTCTCTCTCAGTTGCAAAAGGTCAGTTTGAGCCAATTGTTGGGTAAAACCAGCGCTGATTTTCATCTTAAACCAATAAGGCTCATCTCTCGCCGGCCCCTGCGCCGCCGCAGAGACATCTCTCCAACGTCACTCGTCTCCACCGACACGCCGAGATAAGTCCTCTCGTGGCTCCGAGTGAAAATGCCAAGCTTCAACTTCCCATAATTGGGTGCCACAAAGCCGAGACTCGCTCCGCAAATCTGCGCACAAAGCACCGCTAATCCAACGTAACATTTACATTGGTAACCTGCGCAGAGGGGGAGAGGGGGGGTTTATTGGAGGCCGCCATCATCAGGAGTTAAAAGCTCAAGGATCTTCGCTTCAGTTGTCTGCCCCTTCCCACTGTCAGCCACTCGGGTGGTGGGCCGGGATTGTGTGTGTGTGTGTTTTCTCCCATGGAAATAAATGTTACCTTATATCGGAGAAATAATGAGTTGCGTATCTCGATTGACTGAGTTTTTTTACTGACACTGGCTATTGGCAGCTTATTGTGTGTGTGTGTGGACCGCACAAAAGCCCAGGATGAGCAAAAAAACTCACAAATATGAATGTCAAAAAGTGCAGAATACATGGCTTATGTAATTATTGTGCAAAAAACATGGATAACAGGAATTATTTCTACCTTTGTGCAATCAAGTGTCTTGCTGTTGCATTTCCATAGCCATTACACAAATCGAAAGTTGCAAGCCCGATTTCGCTGAGATATAGAAGCTCTTTTTCGTGACATTCCGCAAATACATTTTTACTCTTATCGAGCCCACGTCACAGTCGCCTTGGCCGCTGCCACCCCAGCCCCCGGCCCGAACCCTCACCCTCCAGCTCCTCAGGGACGTCGTCTCCCAGCTGTGCATCGTCCACCTCGACCACCTCCTCATCGACCGACGAGACGGGGCTCCTCTTCCCCGGAGTGCTGCCCTCGTCGCTGAAATCGTCGGAGTAGTCGCTGGGCTCCGGAGACGAGCCGTGCCTCCCAGGGTCCTAGGGGGAGCAGTGTATTTGGACGTTGCAAAAAAGGGAGAGGGCTTAACGTGGCCCGTGGTTGCTCAGGGGTCAGAGACACTGAGATTGTGAGTTCGAATCCTGGCTTTGAGTATCAGAAAAAAAATACATAAATTTGATCGCCGTGCGAAGAACATTCCCCCTGTGGAATAAACCATATAAATAAGGTACGTCAGTTGTTGAAAACATCTCCATCGTAGTGTGAAATGTGCTTTAATTGGTCATACTCTAACCGGTTTAAACACTACTCTGCGATAGTCCCAAATGAACACTGTCTCATGGCATGAGGCTAACAGCAAAAGCATAATACGATTGGGAAATGACAAAATGTAAAAGCGAAAGGCTTCCTGCCACTATCTTAACTCCGAAAATCCCAGCAATAAGCCACTAAAAGAGTAGATTGAAAAAATAAAATGAATTGCTTCTTTAATGTCTAATCCCATTCAATTTGGCCAAACTGGACCCCAAGTTTCATCCCAGGGACAAGAGCTTTTGCATGAATGCCTTTGAACGTAATAATGAGAAAGTGCCCCGCTCACCTTTAAGGGCTTGCCCGCAAATACTAATAGCACGGAGAGCAATTTCCTGGAAAAAAATAATTCCTGACGTAAATAAATAATCCAAGCCCTGTTATTATGTTTTGCTTGTTGTCTTTGTTGTCTCATTCTAAATTTAATTCCAACTGTGGTATTGGCATCATGTCATGAGACCAAGAATCAATTTCCAAACTCTCAGAGAGTGGCGCATTGATCCACGTTCGAGGCCGATCTGTGGAAGGTAATGTTATAAAACTGCTTGTGAGGTCCCTTCAAGTTGCCTCTTATCCTATTTAGAAAGTGGCCATGCCATTGGCACTCAACATAAATTGTTAAGTTCTCAGAGCTGATGTTGTTTTGCCAAATAAAGTGAATTAACCGATTTTAACATGATGAGTTTATTCATGTGTTATTAGGCTGAGGCCATAAATGCAACACTTGCCAATCAGATCTGTGTATGGTGAAAAAAATCCCATCGTAACGCAACAAAAGTGCAGGCTGAAAAAGCATGCGTTTCAAATAAGATGCAACAATGACTAAAAAGCAGCCTTTTGCACATATGCAATTACCATCAGCAAAACCTGAATAAATTAATTGTGGTCATCATGTCTTAGATCACCACGAAAATCAGTCACATCTGCCAGTTGGTTACATTCGATGAAATGTGACTGATGGTGACCAAAGATAAGAGGACCACAATGCACATATTCAGGAAAACGTTGATAGTTCCTGGCATAATGCACAAATAAATGCGTGCTTTTTATACATTTTTGAGTCTGGTTTGAAACACTTGAGAACCCAGTTTAATCACGGGCAGCGGAAACCCGGATTCAACACAGGATTTCAAATGTGTGACAGGCTCAATGACATAATACCCTAGCCACTGAACCACCTCTGAATGCATATTTAAGTGTTAGATTTAAGAAGATTAGATTATTTTCGTGATGACGGAAATCTGTGATGTTTGCTTTGAAGGAACAGAAGTTATTATGATATTTTAACAATCCGGTTGCAGGTAATGTGCACGTTTGGGGATTACAGTTAAGATAATTAAATGTAGCGATGCGTTTCCGCATTAAGCAGAGCGCATTGCCCGACATTCGCTTTTAAGGGCAAAATCTGCGCAAAGTTTCGTTTCCAAGCTTCACCAGCAAAAAAATGCATTAGAAGACATTTTAACCAAAATACATTCCTGCTTCACGGCACTTTGGGGACGTTTCGCCATTCAACCGCATCGCATTCCGAACAATCTGTAACTAAAGTTTTTTGTTTTTTCCCCCAAGTCTCTTTTATCGTAGAGGTAGTGCATGTCTCTACAGTGGCCTCACACGTGCCTTTTAAAAAGTTGGCACGGGGTCGCCAACGCTATATTCGTGGTCAGAGCAGTGAGCCAGCACAGGCATCCGAAATCCCAAGCTCCCACCTGACATTAGGACTGAGTTTTCTGATGCGCGGCGAGTTTTATGCTTTCAGCACGGTCACCAATGACTGCACAAAAATAAAAACCATCATATAAATTTGCTTTTTCGCTCAATTGGGGATGGCCCAGCTCTAGGGTATATATATATCGAATGATTGATGCGTGGTAAATCTTTCCTGCGACAGCACGCATGAAAGTGGCGAGGGGGCAACAGAAGATACAGTGGAAAGAGTTTTGTGGTTTCTCTTCCAGGGCCCTTCCCAAGTGTAACACGATGGATGCATTGCTTAGTGTTAGTAGTTGCCTGAATCTACACTCATTCCCATGGTGACTGACTCGTAAAATGAATCATAGTTGCTTATACATTTCAGCATTATTACATAATGAATAGAAGAACCAAACTGGAATATTACATTTTGCCAGGTATAGTGGCAACATGGCTGTGATCTAATACCTGAGAGATGAGGTTAGTGGATTGCACACTGTTTATTTAAGTGTCTTTAATTTACCTTGGGAAGCTTCACCGCATCCCATATATAGCATAGCCATCACAGTCTCTTGAGTTTCATATAAATTCAGCTAATCTGAAGCTTTCCTAGGTAATTGAAGAACCACCAAAAGCATTATTATCATACAATTGATCAATAGTGAGAGCCACACCTGCACATCACATGCAGCCACTGGGAAGTGAGCCGGCACGAAAAGTGAACACGGGCAAGAGGGCTCAGCCTGAATTTCCAAGGTAGCCTTAGTGGACCATGCCAATACCAACTGGCCTGGGCAGCCTGCTTAAAGTGGGCCCTGTGGCTCTATTTAAAAAGAGAGGTGCATGATTTCACCCAGACTGTTGTACCATCATGGAGTCAACGCAGAAGACAGAATTTCGGAAATTAGCGTCTCTCAGGGTGGTATTTTTTTAGGAGTCAGGCCCATGGAATTGCTGCGTAAATTGTTAAAAAGAGCTTTACAGCTCATCACATTCCTCCAATATAAATAAATATTAATATTATTCTCGAAACGAGTCATGCTGGGACCGTGTCTGTAACAACACACCACGGCCTGGGTCCGCTCAGCAATGGCCATGGAAACGCAGCAGCAGGTTCGCACCTCCCCAGGTGAGGACCGCTCCTCTTCATCTTCCTCTTCACTTGCCTCGTGGAGTTTCCCGGGGAGGCCGGGGGGAGCCGATTTGGCCCTAGGGTCGAAGCCGCCACAGACGTCACCGTCGCCGCTGCCATGCGAGCCCTTGCTCGCGGCGAGCCCGTCGTCCGCCAGCGGGGAGCACGACGACTTGCTCCGCACAGCGTCCACACAGCCGCTGTGATCGGAGCGCGACGCCCTGCCATGAAACAAGCGTGATCACCGTTGTCGTCGTCGCCGGTCCTGTTGTTATTATTGTTGTTATCAGAATTCATATTTCGCCAAATATTTTTGTTTGCCCCGAGCGAGGTATGGTATGGTAGCAAGAGCAGTTTATGCGATTGCTGTCGCAAGAGATCGCACGTTTGGCGCAACAGTCATTCGCTGACTATGCGGAATGAATGAGGAAAGTACATCCAACGTCGCACGTGCGCAAGTATGATTATTGGCGCACGGATGTGCAGATGGTCAAAAAATATTGCAGTACGTTATCCAGATGAATTCACACCGAATATAATACACTTGGGCGTGTTCCCTCCTTTGGCTGCCATTCTGTCTTTAGTCTCGAGCATCACCTGTTAGCAGATACTGGACAACGTGAAACACCTGAGCGGTATGAATACACTTGGAATCTTTTTTTATATAGGTATACCAATCGATTCTCAGGTGCACGTTAAATGCATCCAATTGCCCATACAACAATCAAGTAATCTTGAGGGGTACAGTGAGGGAAACAAATATTTGATCCCCTGCTGATTTTTTACGTTTGCCTACTGACAAAGAAATGATCAGTCTATAATTTTAATGGTAGGTTTATTTGAACAGTGGGAGACAGAATAACAACAACAAAATCCAGAAAAACGCATGTCAAAAATGTTATAAATTGATTTGCATTTTAATGAGGGAAATAAGTATTTGACCCCCTCTCAATCAGAAAGATTTCTGGCTCCCAGGTGTCTTTTATATAGGTAACGAGCTGAGATTAGGAGCATACTCTTAAAGGGAGTGCTCCTAATCTCAGCTTGTTACCTGTACAAAAGACACCTGTCCACAGAAGCAATCAATCAATCAGATTCAAAAAACCTCTCCAAGGATGTCAGGGACAAGATTGTAGACCTACACAAGGCTGGAATGGGCTTACAAGACCATTGCCAAGCAGCTTGGTGAGAAGGTGATAACAGTTGGTGCGATTATTCGCAAATGGAAGAAACACAAAAGAACTGTTAATCTCCCTCGGCCTGGGGCTCCATGCAAGATCTCACCTCGTGGAGTTTCAGTGATCATGAGAACGGTGAGGAATCAGCCCAGAACTACACGGGAGGATCTTGTCAATGATCTCAAGGCAGCTGGGACCATAGTCACCAAGAAAACAATTGGTAACACACTACGCCGTGAAGGACTGAAATCCTGCAGCGCCCGCAAGGTCTTCCTACTCAAGAAAGCACATATACATGCCCGTCTAAAGTTTGCCAATGAACATCTGAATGATTCAGAGGACAACTGGGTGAAAGTGTTGTGGTCAGATGAGACCAAAATGGAGCTCTTTAGCATCATCTCAACTCGCCGTGTTTGGAGGAGGAGGAATGCTGCCTATGACCCCAAGAACACCATCCCCACCGTCAAACATGGAGCTGGAAACATTATACTTTGGGGTGTTTTTCTGCTAAGGGGACAGGACAACTTCACTACATCAAAGAGATGATGGACGGGACCATGTACCGTCAAATCTTGGGTGAGAACCTCCTTCCCTCAGCCAGGGCATTGAAAATGGGTTGTGGATGGGTATTCCAGCATGACAATGACCCAAAACACACGGCCAAGGCAACAATGGAGTGGCTCAAGAAGAAGCACATTAAGGTCCTGGAGTGGCCTAGCCAGTCTCCAGACCTTAATCCCATAGAAAATATATGGAGAGAGCTGAAGGTTCGAGTTGCCAAACGTCAGCCTTGAAACCTTAATGACTTGGAGAAGATCTGCAAAGAGGAGTGGGACAAAATCCCTCCTGAGATGTGTGCAAACCTGGTGGCCAACTACAAGAAACGTCTGACCTCTGTGATTGCCAACAAGGGTTTTGGCACCAAGTACTAAGTCATGTTTTGCAGAGGGGTCAAATACTTATTTCCCTCATTAAAATGCAAATAAATTTATAACATTTTTGACATGCGTTTTTCTGGATGTTTTTGTTGTTATTCTGTCTCTCACTGTTCAAATAAACCTACCATTAAATTATAGACTGATAATTTATTTGTCAGTGGGCAAACGTACAAAGTCAGCAGGGGATCAAATACTTTTTTCCCTCACTGTACATGTGTAGTGACATATAATTGGTCACTACGGCGCCTTGCGCCAGTTACTGATAAAGCGGGGAACTGCGAGTGTAGTAGCCCTCTCTGCCTGCAGGGTACGCTATGTCATGGAAAGGGTCCCTAGGGGAGCATGGTTCTGGTGGCTGGCAGAGAGGGGGCATCTGAGGACATAGCAGCCCGGTTGGCTGGCAAGGGCACGTGACAGGACAAGGTAAGGATGTGGGCCAAAGGTGACAGAAGGGACACGTGGCGTAGGGCCCAGAACCTTCTGGTGAGTTCCAGAAGGGGGCGTGGCCGAGGGCGAAGCCAGGTCACGCTGGGGGCATAAAAGGGAGGTCCCGGGGACACATCGGGGCTATCTGCTGGAATGGAACCCGTCTCCGGTCTATGTCCTCAGCATCGTGGGCCAGGCAACGTGCCGACTGACCTGACCGGTTTAAATACAGTAGTTACCCCATGGTGGTTACCGGTTATTTAGTTATCTCATTGTGGTTACTGGTTATGTAGTTACCCCGTTGTGGTCGTAGAATAAACGTGTTGCCTCCTGAATGAGTGTGTCTCTCAAGTGAACCCACTACACATGTAATATGTAATAGATTAATGAGACTACTGCACCAATAGAGGCCGCTACATTCACCCACAAGAGAAAACATCTATTTTTAAATCGAACCATGACACTGAATTGTGACAATTTACTGGATCACAATGAAGGTGAACTGTTTTCAGTCCCAAATCTATATCATGCTCTTAATATAATACGTGCGTTTGACACGCAATGACCTGTCCTTGTGAATTATGTTCATTGCAATACAATTACAATGCAATTTAGATTCATACAGCATCCAAATGGGACCACACATCGGGAGGCTGCGTATTTATTTTCACGCAAGAGAGAAAGAGATTGTCAGCATATGGGCAGAGCAAAAAGATGAAGGACTTGAGCCTCAAATTGAACAGGGGCAGGCAGGTTGACAGTACAGAGTACAAAGATACAATCTGGAATTATGTCGGATCTAAATGTAACCACATCTCAAGACGCCGCACGGAAACAGTGAGCACATTTATATAGCAATAAAGAGACAGTCACAGACAGAGGTAAAGAGGAAGGCATTGTCACGTGGGATTCAATCTACCTATGCTTATAACCATGCCTCTGATAACCAGAGACATCTCAAAAGCAAACGTGGTCCTGTGCACGCACAGTGTAGGGTGGAAAAAACAGCTCTGGTGACAAGATGCCATTTGACACAATCACAGAGACAGAGAAAAAAAGAGAGGCACGGAGACATGGAGCGACATGGGCACAGGGAAAGACACAGAGAGAGACGGGGGGAGGGAGAGACGCAAAGGCAGGTGAAGAGAGAAAGACGTGGAAATAGACGTGCAAAAATACAGACACAGTGACAGTGAGACATTCACAGAGAGACACACAGAGAGCTTTGCTGACCCATACAAAAGTGTGAGATGTGTGGAGGAGCATTTGTTACACACACCGACACGTGCAGGTGGCACTGCAAACACGCAACAATAACTTGTAAAAACCCACAAAATAATCCAATCGGCAAAACACAAACACCACACAAACAGAAATTCCCGTACAACACACTCGCTCCCGCGTACTAAACACACTCGCTCCCGCGCCCTAAACACACTCGCTCCCGCGCCCTAAACACACTCGCTCCCACGCACTAAACACACTCGCTCCCGCGCACTAAACACACTCGCTCCCACGCACTAAACACACTCGCTCCCGCGCACTAAACACACTCGCTCCCACGCACTAAACACACTCGCTCCCGCGCACTAAACACACTCGCTCCCATGCACTAAACACACTCGCTCCCATGCACTAAACACACTCGCTCCCATGCACTAAACACACTCGCTCCAGCGCACTAAACACACTCGCTCCCACGCACTAAACACACTCGCTCCCGCGCACTAAACCGTACGCTACCTGTGTGCCCGTCCAGCCCGTCGGTCTTCACACTCCCGCACAAAGAGACGCAGGTGGCGCTGCGCGTACGGCGAGGCCAGCACGGCACTGGCGCTCGGCCGGTCCTCTGGGCTGCGGCTCAGCAGCAGCGCCACCAGCGCACGCACGTCGCGCGAGTAGCTCTCGTCCAGCGGGTCCGGCTCGCCGCGCATTATCTTGTAGAAGAGGCTGCGGCGGGTGAGCGGGTACCTCCGATTAGCACGGTTGGCTACATACGGTCTGAACGACGTTCAAGACAATACAATACCCGCTATTCGCTTCTAAGTGACGGTGACGTCACCACGACGCCTGTGCGAGACCAGGTGGTGGACATTGAGGCAACGTCAAGTGTCGAAGGCTCGCTGACAGGAGGTAATGGGACAGACCCAGGTGCCATGAGTAGACTGAGATAACTGGCACATGCACCAGCTGTACCCCCTACTGTGCCAACTTGCTGAATTTTAGCCACCCGATGCTCCGCTCATCGTTGTGTCACTCCTCTGCCCCCTGTTATTGTTGGAGGGCGACTGCCTCCAACTGACCAGTAGCATCATTCATGAGCCTCCTCCATAGGAAAAAAGTTCAACATACATACGTACCAGCGCAAAAGTAACGTCGACTTTGACAGAAAGTCCAAAAAGGCAATGTTGAAGACTCAGAGCTGGCCAGAGTTGTTGGTCTCATTTCCCACAAAATTCAAACCAAAATGGGAACACGACTTGGTATGAATTAAAAAGTGGCGTTTCCATGATTTTGCAAAGTTACTCAAGTATGAGTTGGCTTGATCTTTCCACAAAAGTTATTCCGAATAAGACCGGTGTAGTAGGAATTCAAAGGTAAACATGTGATAGCTGACGAAATTAAATGTTCAGCGTTAAAATGTTTATATTAAATATAAAATTTAAATGTTCCTGTTGTCTACGCAACATTTTTTATCGTAACAGATTTTGTGACGTCCAGTATTTCCTCTCTCCTTCCGAATACGGAAGCAGAGAATAAGTGAACGAATCAAATCTTGACAAAAGACTTGTTGTTGACGGGACATTTTTGGACACCGGGACAACCTTTCCTTTTAAAAACGAGGCCTGTCCCGGTCAAAAACTGAGTTCGTTTTCCAAACTGAACCACGGCCCGCCGACGCGCACACCTGATTATGTTGCTGGCTTCAAAGGCAGGTCTCAGGGCGCACAGCTCGTACAGGAGGCAGCCGAGAGCCCACACGTCCGACTTGGAGCTGTAGGGCAGGTCCTGGCACATCTCCGGACTCAGGTAGTACGGGGTTCCCACGCACGTCACCGCCATGTCAAGGGTCCCCTCCATGGCCTTCGAGATTCCAAAATCACCGACCTTCGGGAGGTGGGGGGCCCACCGGTCGGCGAGCAAACGAATTGCCGGGAGGATGAATTAATACGCGAGCGCGGGGGGCATGCAACACTGTAGATAAAGAGATGGATGGGCACACGGCTGGCCACATGGACGAATGGTTAGATGGAACGGTCCACGTACATTACTATATCGTTAAATATATGTGTGCGCATCTAAAGTCGTAACATAGTGACAGTTTCTTTGTATGTGTATGGTATTCCCGAGCGATAGTGGAGTACTTAGTGCACTGCGCTATGAACCAAGTGACCTGGGTTATATTCCCTCTCACGGCCAACATCGGTGGCAAATATCTGAACCAGTACTTGGGTTACCCTAGGTGGACTTGACCTCAAATTAGTTCCTGCTGCACTGTGTAAATGTCGGCACTACGAAAGCAAAGGAAGCAAGAGTGGTGCTGGTCACACCATATTCTCATTGCTAGCCTTAATAGGAGCTCACTAACAGTACTTTTTAAAAGCATAAGTAGGCTATATGGGGTTCCTTGGTCTTTGGCATTTCCTATGGCAGTACCCTTTATTGACTGTGTTCTTTCAATGATTGTTGTATTAACCAACTATACATCAATCTGTATTGAGCACCAAATCAAATAAAATGCAACCAAAAATAAGACTGTACAACATTCTTAAATTGCTGAAAATTTTGCATTATTTTAAATCGATTCAAAACAAGCACTTTCTTTGAGTCTTGGGCCCATAATTAATCACAAACCTACGCGAGCTAGTACATAAAATTACTAATATAATAAGCCAAGAGTTTGTGTCCTGCGCGTGACGTCACTCCCAGGGGCGGGGCCAGGATTTTAACTTTGGGGGGGCTGACTTCAATATTATGAGATATCCAGTGTTTATGTTTTCCAATGGGCGCCACAAATGTATAAAACAAATTTTATTGGATTTGAACGCGGAGTTTATTAATAGGTCGGAGCCGCTGATGTGGCTAATAAGTTCGATAAGTTCGAAAGGCTGCCGCTCAAGCAGCCTGCAGGGCAGCACACGAGGTGGCAGCCTGCAGGGCAGCACAAGGTGACAGCCTGCAGGGCAGCAGCACAAGGTGGCAGCCTGCAGGGCAGTACACAAGGTGGCAGCCTACAGGGCAGCACACAAGGTGGCAGCCTGCAGGGCAGCACGAGGTGGCAGCCTGCAGGGCAGCACACGAGGTGGCAGCCTGCAGGGCAGCACACGAGGTGGCAGCCTGCAGGGCAGCACACGAGGTGGCAGCCTGCAGGGCAGCACACGAGGTGGCAGCCTGCAGGGCAGCACAAGGTGGCAGCCTGCAGGGCAGCACACGAGGTGGCAGCCTGCAGGGCAGCACACGAGGTGGCAGCCTGCAGGGCAGCACACGAAGTGGCAGCCTGCAGGGCAGCACACGAGGTGGCAGCCTGCAGGGCAGCACAAGGTGGCAGCCTGCAGGGCAGCACAAGGTGGCAGCCTGCAGGGCAGCACAAGGTGGCAGCCTGCAGTGCAGCACACAAGGTGGCAGCCTGCAGGGCAGCACAAGGTGGCAGCCTGCAGGGCAGCACAAGGTGGCAGCCTGCAGGGCAGCACGAGGTGGCAGCACACGAGGTGGCAGCCTGCAGGGCAGCACAAGGTGGCAGCCTGCAGGGCAGCACAAGGTGGCAGCCTACAGGGCAGCACAAGGTGGCAGCCTGCAGGGCAGCACAAGGTGGCAGCCTACAGGGCAGCACAAGGTGGCAGCCTGCAGGGCAGCACAAGGTCGCAGCCAGCCCCCCCTGTGGCTCCGCCCCTGGTCACTCCACATGCCGCACCCTTCATAAATAATGAGCGTGTGACGGCACTCCACATGGGGCACCCCCCCTCATTCATAATCATGAGCAGATAACGTCACTGCACATGGAGCTCCCCCTCATCAATAATCGTGAGCTGATGACGTAAGTCATGTTGACCCCGCCCCACCCCCTCATTAATAATCATGAGCGGGTCATTATTTTCCATTGAATATTTAAGATTAATTGCCATATACACACGTCCTTGGACGGGCTATAGGCTAGTATTTATATAAATACTAACAAAAATGCCACACAATGCTATTAGAATGCGTCTGAGAGGACGTTCACCAAGGAAACAAAGCGACGAGATCAGTTCGTGTGGAGGTGATAGGTGTAATCTTTCATCCAGCAGTGGATTGATCATGGCTGATGATGATGATGAATAATGGTGATGATGAATATTACAAATCCGTCTTTTGCACCGTATTGTATGCTGTTGCCCACAGTATCGGCTTACCTGGTGGCATTTCATTTTAAGTACATACCTTGCCAATGAGACTCATTGAAGTTAAACACCTTGTTTAAACAAAAGTGACAATCGGGAATACCCATAGGTCAACAGGGGATAATAAATGGCATTGGCTTTAATATGCCTGACAGTGAATGGGCAAAACAAAAATGGTACCTAGTTATTTGTACTTATATCGGGAGTTATTTCTTATTTGTGTGCAGGGTTTAAGTAGGTTTGTATCACTCTGCTGAGTCTTCTTTGCAAGCATAGCTTGAGCAGGCACCTCCAAAACTCTCTAAGCCTGCGACCTTCCCACTGACTGCAGGTCATAAGTTTGGGGCATTTGTGGATGCTTTCTGCCGACCATCGCTCGTAGGCCGGTTACATTTTTCCTCACCAGAGAATTCCAAAAGCTGAAAAACCCCTGGCTCACGTCCCACAAAGTGAGACAGTGCTACAGCATCAGCGGCGACGATTTAAGAAATGCTGGCCGCTAATTTTTGTTTTACTTTACATCTTGGTATGCATTAATAATTGCTTTAATAAGATGTCTCAGCGTAAGCATTTTTTGCCAATTCTGCTTTTAATTGCAGCCACTGGAGCAATTCGCTACCGCTCTCGCTGCGCGTCCTCCCGGAATGAATTATGACATTACACCAATTATTAAAGCAACAGATATTGCCGCCGCATTAACTCGGCTAAAAAAACCAAAAACCCAAAGCGACTGGCATACTCAAGTTCCTCGGGCAGGCATATGCAAAAACACCCACGCGACTGAAATCCACTTTCAATGTACAATACGCATTTATTATTTATATCTTTACTTGCAGCAGGCCCCCAAGTAATGGGAAGCTCCTCGCTCCCGTACGCATGAAATAACCACCGGGTGAACCCATCGTCTCGAGCAATTCTCCCTGCGCGCGAGGCGAACCGGCGCCTTGTCCGTGCTCTGCTCATACTTCGCACATCGATTGCACTTCTCTCTCTGCATCCGCTTCTCCATCCCCTCCGGCCCTTGCTCATAAAATGAGATACTGTATTTAATTTAGAGGGGTGTACGTTGTCCTAAATGAGATTTGTTTGTTTGTTTATGAGACCAGTGGCAAGCTGACCATACGCACTCACTGATGATGTGACTCTTGGGTGTATTGTCACCTTTTCTTGCATGGCCCTATAAATGTAAAATGTCTCACACTGCAGTAAGTGTGTTCTAACATTCGGGTGTTTTTTTTGTTAGAGGTATCCAGATGGCTCAGAGAACAGAGCACTAAGTCGGCACCACTGAGGTCCTGTGGTTCGCAACCGGGTTTTGGCCACTTGCGATTAAATATGGTTCCCTAGTATGGTGAATTGGACTCAGCCTGGTCACCAATTATTGCACAAAAAAACCCATCACATTATATTAAAATTCATACTGGTAGGAACCTCCTGGTTCCACCAGCCCACAGGGGATTATTTTGTCCGTCCGTCCGTGCATCCAAAAATGGGAGGGGTGGGGATGGGTGGGGATGGGTGGAGAGGGGAGGGCGGGGAGGGGCTGGGTGGGGAGGGAGGGGCTGGGTGGGGAGGGTGGGGAGGGAGGGGCTTGGTGGGGAAGGCGGCCACGGCACACACGAGGGGGTGGGTGGCCACCAACCACGTCCGACCATCTTCACGACATTTTTCCCTCCACGTGGAGAATCAACAACATGCGTTTGGAGTATGCGGCTGCTCTAAATCTCTATATTATAAGCCGCCAATTCGTGGGTATTGTAGGAACAACTTTTTTTTTTCTCTCCACCATCCCAGGTCCCCAACCGGTCCCCACCCTTCACGCCGGCTTGTGCCTGCCCCCACAGTCGAGCATATTTGCGGAATACACCACGCCGCTGTTGACCCTGGCCATCCTCCGAGCAACCCAACGTTCCTACCAGCTCCCTCCGCAGGAATGTGTTGGCTTGCCTGTCGTGCGACAAACATTACTCTCACGTGGCAGGGCGAATGAGAAAATGTCATACTATACTTTGTGGTCTACATGTCACTAAAGGGGCCTCAAATTTAGGTTTGTGATATCCACTTCCGTGAGCCCTTCTCTAACAAACGGTTTCCCACTGCTCTGCAAGACATCTAAAACGACACTTTGTCTCACGACACAGAGAGCACTATTGGGGTTAGGAATTGGGAGAACATTTTACAGGGGAGGGAAAAAAAGTTGGGGGAAATGCACCACAACAGGCTTTACAGCATCCTGCTGGCCACGCATGCAATTCAGTAATGAGAATGTTGCACACTGCGTGCGAGCTCTTTTAATTAAAACTGTCTGACTAATCCACGACGCTCACTAATCCAAATGATTGCCTTGGACCCTAAAACCTGCAGATTACCAAGGGGTTTCTGTTATTGGGTTATTTCTGAAATAGATTTTTCTAGTACATATGGAAACATGCGTCACTAAATACATGCCCCCAACAAATACAAAAGCCGTTTAAAAAGTCATAAGTAAAAAAAAACGAAATCTGCAAAATGCAGATGTTAACCGAGCTACACAAACATCTGGAATCGTTTGTAGGAAAGCTACCCCGGTTAGTTCTCTTGCATGAAGCCTTGATAAATCCACTGCTAGATGACGATCTCCCCACACCGTAGCAATCCCTCGCGGTCGTGCAATGCAATAATCTATCCAGCACTGGGTTCTCACAACTACTGAGATCCTGGGTTTGAATCCAGGCAGCCACCCACGATTAAACCGGGTCCTCAAATGCAATATCATAATTTACACTGCGCCCCCAATGTGGAACATCTCGAAGTGCCAAGTGCAGTGAGTTGAGTCACCAATGACTGCACACAATAAAATCAAAACACATTCAGTTTGAACTTTCAGTGACATAATTCCAGCTCTGAGCATTAAAGAAATACATTCTTGGTGGGATTGTCATTCGACACACATCTCTGGAAAGTGCAATGTCCATCGTGTGGATAAGTGGCTGCTAGAAGGGACCTCAAACGTAGTTCTGTGATATCACCTTCCATCGGCCATTCTCTCACACTGCTCTGTGAGAAATCGGAATTGATTCGTGATCTCATGGCACAGTTGACATTAAATTTGGAATAAGACCAATACAACCCCTAATATAACAGGACGTGGATTATTTATTTAGGTCTGGAGTTTTTATCCCAGGAAATTTCTCTCCATGCTATTAGTATTTGTGGGTGAGCCAAAGGTGAGCAGGGCACTTTGCTATTATTATTTTCAAAGGCATTAATACACCTTGTGATATGATGGCAATAGAGCAATTGGAATAAGTGGTATGAAAAAGGCCTTTTATTTTTAAGGATACAACACAATATCTCACGGTCATGTTCTCCATCACACAATGAGTGTATTGTACGTTCACGCATGTAAACAAAGTTGTATTTAAAACTAAAAGCAAGGAATAACTTAATTGCCAGTTGTGTTCAGGCAATCATGAAAAATTAATACCCAGATGTCCCTTGTGCTTTAACCTTGCTTTATAAATGTCTACTACGAATCATATTTGTATTCTCTCTATATTTCCCAAACTCAAACAACCTAGGTATAGCAGCCTATCACATATTCCATACCTCAGTGGGTGGCATTAATCAAGCTGACCTGTCTGTCTCTGTCAGGGTCTTTTACACGAAACATTTAAGTCTCGCAAGAGACAGGAAGAAATGTCTGAGAGATACCTTGACCGTGCCAGCCTTGGTGAGGAACACATTTGAGGTCTTGATGTCACGGTGCAGGATCTTGACAGAGTGGATGTACTGCACAGCCATGCACACCTGTACGAACCACTGCATGACCTGTACCATGGAAGAGCATCTTCAGATGTGGTTGCACTTCAGATGCTACATACATCCAATTGTATTGTAATGACAGCACAGCCATACATGTCTACATTCTATGTAGCTAATGCTTTTGTTTATTTTACAGCTTGACTCAAACAGGGTATCATGACATCACAGGTTGGCACAGATTTATCAAAATGTATTACATTAGTTTTTGTTATGATCTGTTTACATCATCTTTATTTCAGGAGGGCCCTGCACTGGGAATTTAGGCCAATTATGTTAATGAGCATTTGACATATAGGAGGTAAGCAGAGGAAAAAGAGATACAACAAAAACTAAAATTCCAAACATATGGCACAGGAACCTAATTTCTGTACTGCCGTCGTGATGCTGTGGCTACTACGGCTGCTATTGCTGCTGATGATAATGCTCCTGCCACTGTTGCTGCTCCTGAAGATGATGTCAACTTAATAATGGTACTGCTGCTGATGATCATAATTTGGTACTGCTGAAGGTGATGATCATACTATTGCTGCTAGTTATGCTGCTGCTATTCTACTGCTGCGGTTGCTGGCAAAAGTTGATCATGATATTGATGCTGCTGATTACAACGGTGACGTACCTGTCTTTCGGCGATGAACTGGCCACCCTCACGCGCCCTCCGAACTCTGTCCTCCAGTGACCCGCCATCGCAGTACTCCAGCACCATGTAGAGGCTCTCGGCTGCATCTTCTCCTGCTCTCCCGCCATCTGCTCCACCTCCTCTTCCATTGCCGCACGCGAAGAAGTGCTCGACGCACGCCACCACGTTGGGGTGGCGCAGCCGTCGCAGCAGCTCGGCCTCGCGTAGCACCGTCTCCCGTGACCGCCCACGCCGCCACGGCTCCACGGGCACAAGCTTGAGGGCGAGGAGGCGGCGCGCGCCGGCCGAGTCTCGCACGAGCAGCACCTCCCCACTCGCGCCACGGCCCAGCACCGACACCCGCTCGTAGCGATCCATCGCCACCGCGCTATGACGTCGATGACGGCTCTGCGGCCAGCGCCACAGCCGCCACCGCCGACGCCGACACCGCCATTGTCTCGGATCGTGGCTCGTGCGAGATCTGCCGTGATAAATGGCCGATTAATGGTTTGGTGTGTGCGCGTGTATCTGCATCGATATCATCGTGAGCCATTGTTGTCTTTCTTCGACGCTTGTGGTAAGGAAATGGAATTACAAGTCACTTGTCAATGTTTCTTGTTCATGTTTAGAAGCCAAAAGGACCAGAAGGTATCTAAACGAAATTTCGTATTCGTCAATTTTTTTGCAAAAATGGATCGATGCCTTCCATTGATAACAGGGCAAATCCCCAAAAGACATCAGTTATGCCTTGACTGCGCCAGTTGAAAATGGGGCTCGTTGTTGGTGCTGGGCTGTTGTTGCTTTGTCCTGGGCTGTTCTGCAGTGTTGTCATCCTCGCAGTGGCTTTTGGCTGTCCATCGAAGAAAGACGGTCACTGCATCACGCGCTTTCAGAAGCGTTTCTGCAGCTGTCTAGAACGCTCTTCCTTCCGATATTATGAAGCCACTAACTAGAGCTATGCACTCTTAAATCGAGATTGAAAACGCATTTCTTTAGAGCTGCTTTCTGTGTTTAGTTTGTTGTCCTTCACCCGCACCTCCGATTAGCACGGTTGGCTATGTACAGTGGGAAAGAAGCTCAAAATACTTACGTACATTTTCTCTCTGCTCTCTCCGATGCTTCCCTGCCCTCACCCCAGCTGCCTTAATGTAGTTCCTGTACAATATCTGGAGATGCAGCTGCATGCATTACAACGCAATATAAATTGTTGATGTTGTTATGATTTTCGTTGGCCATTTCTGTCATTTCTCCAAGATGGGAATCAGGTCAAAAGTACCTCACTGCTCAAATGAGCAATGAGGCATTGCTCATATTCATCATTCTGCAGTGGAAATTTCACATTGCCTACCCAAGCCAAGTGATAGTGAAGATACCAAATCAGGCAGAGATGGGGGTCTGTGGGAGACACCCACCTGCAAGGTAATGAGGTCCTGTACAATCCAGTATGGTATGACTTCTGACAGTTTATTGTACATGTACAGCCTTTTTTTGTCAATACACTGCTGGATAAAGGCTGCCCACGCCACGTGGGTCGTAGTGCTTATTGATCATACTTCACCATGCTGGTCAGTGTGGATTAGCGAAGGTGGGGAGCACAGCTGTTGGCACGTAGTACAATACAACAGTGGATTTTGCTGGATCCCCCTCCGCTGACAAGCTAGTCCCGCAGCAGCCTACTACATCTACCTTCTTCATGCATTGTGATGACCCATCCATGCACTGTCTAGGCTCAACTCCGCTAAGCTTCCTGAACACTTCATTATAGGCTGTACAATGTCCTGGTCTTTTTTTTTCCAGGAACACCTCAGTGACTATCAAGGTGATGTTTTTTTTGAGGAGGGGTTTTGCATGGAATATTTTTCGAGTTTGCTTTTGGGGTATTTTTAATGTTCATCTAAGAATGAACTTGAGTACCCGAAGAAAGCCCACATATATGAGGATACGGCACTCACGTCTCGACCACACAGACAGAACCTGACAGTAACCTACTTGCTGCACTGCCTCCTCCAAGCGTCATCGTGCACGTGACGGCCCGATGTCTATTTGATCCACCAACCACGTTGCTGTGCTACATTGACATGCTTCGATGCACTGTCACCACGAAACATTGTACAACAACAAAAATACGTCAGTGATTAACCACTCAATAGAGCTCATCCGTTTACAGTCCTGGGCCAGTGGTGGAAATTCCACATTTCTATGGCGAGGGTAAAGAGTATTCTCCTCGTTTGTGATTTACCAGTGATATACCAGGCGTAGCTTCTTGAATGAAAAGACTAAATATAAATACGTGCTTATGATGCACACTTACAATGTATAATTATGCCTGTAGCAAACCACGGTTCATTACACAGTACATATGAATACACCGTTGGATGGCGGAGCGGTGGCGCAGTGGTGACATCTGAACAGGGTGCCTGGGGTGGGGGCCTACACCAACCTACAAGTGACCAGCGCGGTGAAGTATGGTCAAATACTCCCCCTCCACCACGACCGATGCCGACGCAGATTGACAACAACAAACTAACAATAGGGGCGGGGGGGGCTGTCATTGACGAATGGTTGATCCATACTCATTGGTACTTTCGGTAAAGTCACGTAGGTATAAAATAAAATAAATTGAATGGTACATCACCGAGGTGACGGAAGACTCGGGCCCGTCAAGCCCGAGACCATCACCACAAGTCGACTTCTCCCCTCCCCCCCGCCCACCAAACTAGTACGCGATTTATCGACCCACAACCGAGGTAGGAATGTGAACATTGCCCTCACGTCGGATTTGCGAGCCGAGCGCCCTACAAAATAAAAATACGCAAAGCGCGTTACGTACAGGACGCGTTCCGTGAATAGCCGTGACCTCGCGAGCTTCATCATAAACAATCTAACATGTAAAAAAATATATAAAATAAAATGCGTCAACTGCCGTACCACCGTACAGTAGTAAGAGTAGTAAATGTGAGAACTCGCTGCGGGATCGGGTCGGGGGGTGTTTACCTTCATCGGCCGCGGAGAATTCACTAATGTATTTAGGGGTTTTGCGTCGTTAAAGCCTCCGCTGTCTTCGCGTAACGAGATCGCGACGCTGAGCCAAACCGAAACCAAAAAGCGTTATGACTTCACATTCAAAACGACGCCTTCAATAACTGCTCGTTGTGCGTGTGTGTGTGTTCCTGTTTTGTTGTTGTTGTTGTTGTCGTCGTCGGTAAACGCAAAGGCAGAGAGATGCTGTCGAGCGTTCGGGCGTGCTCCGTCTGAGGACGCCGACACGCGGTTGCTAGGCAACTCTGGTCCCTCCAACGGACGCTTCCGGGTGAGGAAAAAACAAAACCCGCCTCGACCTTTACTCGGTTCTGACTTCAGTTTCATTTGTTTGGTAGCAGCTGTACACTACCCCCCGGACTTCGCCCTGGAACTTGGATTCACCACCACACCCCGGCCGCCTTTGTCTCCCCCAGTGGCGATGTTGACACACCACAGGAGGTACTCGTTTTGAGGCTGAGTCGACCTAGGGGGGGGGAGGCCCAGGACCGGTTCAGATAATCGTCACCGGTGGTGGCCGTGAGCGGGAATCGAACTCGGGTCGCCGGGTTCGTAGCGCGGCGTAGCGCTAACCGCTGCACCACCGCTCCCTCCACAGACACACACATATACAAAGATCCCCCATATAGCCTTAACCGACTGTAGGGGCAAGTGCTGTTAGCGAGCACCTATGAAGGCCGGAACGATACACGAGACGCTTGTGCCAGGCTATGTGCACCCTGAGGCCACGTGAAGTGTCGAACGCCCGCTGGCAGGAGGTCACGGGTCAGACCCAGCAGGTGCCACGGGTCGACTGACTGAGATGACTGGCTGATGCACCACCTGTGCCCCCTACTGTGCCAACCTGCTGTGCTTTAGCCACCCGGCGCTCCGCTCGTTGTTGTGAGCGTCGCTCCTCCGCCCTCCGTTGTTGTTGGAGGGCGACTGCCTCCAACTGCCCAGTAGCGTCCTTCACGAGCCTCCTCCACAGAGGCCGATCTTGACACCGCTGGTACCAGTCATCGGTAAGTCCATATAGACACACACACAAACACACACACAGACACAGACACAAACACACACACACAGACACACACAAACACACACAGACACACACACAAACACACACACAGATACACACACACAGACAGCGCGCTAACCACTACACTACAATGCGTTACGCTTCCCACGTGCGAGGGTCACGTGACAGATTTGACGTCACAGCTCACTTGCCGTGCAAAAAATTATAAATGGATTATTGAGCTCCCCCCCCCCCCCCCAAAAAAAGTGTATTGTTATAAGTTTTGCATGGTGTACAGTCTGGAAAGTACCCACATGGCTAATTTCCAGTTTGTTGCATGTCGGGAAGTACGCTAAACATTTTTAACAGACACATTCACAACTTTGCCTTTTATATATATGGAGATAGCCCTGTGAGCCATTCGGCTCTTGAATCAGGTGCAACCGCAACAAACAAAAAACATGAACAAGAAAACATCTTAAAGTGACTATGTGACTTTGTGCAAACAGAAAATCCAGGAGAAAACAGCAAAATATTCCTGGAAAAGCACCGTACACCAACGCTGTATGCAAAAAATTCCAGTGGGATGCAAGTCAAACAACAACCACAAGACAACTTAGATTAAGGCCATCAGTCTAACTCCGTACTACAGCAAACAAACATGGCCAAACCAAAACACTTTTCGAAATCACCAAAATAAAGCCATCAAAGCTCACTCACTCTCTTTTCTTCTACCTAGATATCTCTCCCCCTCTCTCTTCCTCCTCCTCTGATTAAAACGCCGTGATAGAACAAAACTCATCAGATTCGCCAATAACGCTGTGGCCTTAAAAATAAGAAGACATGTTATAATGTGCGACGTTTTGGGCAAATGTCCCTTCGACATAATAGGTCGTAGACACTGGCAAAAAAAACATTCACCTAATTTTATATATATGAGATGATTTCGATAGTTTTTTTGCTGCTATAAATGTCCACATGATAAAGCCACTTTGTTCAGCAATCATTTGCGGCCAGGTCACTTCTGAAAAATAAGTTAATACTTTCAATAAGCTTTACCTGGTAAGATAAAAAAAATATATAGTTTCGTTTTATGCGTATATTTTAAGTGATTTGTTTACTTTTCCGTACTTCGCACTCCTATCGTGTGTTTTGGCATTGTTATCGTAACGTTTTGACCCGACCCTTACTGGACATTTGTGAAAAAGAGCTCTTTGTAGCTTCATCTGATTCCTCCAGTATAAATAAATACCGTATTCTGATATGTGTTTTTGCTTTGAAGGCCGTACACCCAGTGTTGTTATTGTTTAGGTTTTTGTTTGAATGGTGCTCAGTACACCACTGCCAACGCAGCAACGGAAGCATAATCATCAGACAATTTGTCTAGTAATGAATAGGTAATGCACCTATATTTTACCCGATGACATCTAATTGAGACAGCATGTCTCTTTAGCATTGAAGACACATAGACGTCTGAACGTAATTGGATAATGGGGTTCTTATACACTTTGTGACGGTGGAGTGCCCTTGCCAAATATAACTGGCAGCCCATCATATGCAATTCGGTTAACGAGCATGATTTCCTGAACCAAAGGGTCAAAACCAGTCCAGGGCTTACTTGCTTAAACAAATGCTGCTGAATAATATTCATAAAGGCCCAAGTGGCTGATGGACTCAAACAACCTATATAATATTCTTAGTTTTTTCGGTAAAGTCACGTTGAAGAGAAACAACAAAATAACAAAATATATATAATGACCGTTTGAGTTATGGTCGAAACGTCGTGAGAATTTTTTATTGTTTTATATATATATTTTGTTATTTTGTTGTTTCTCTTCAACGTGACTTTACCGAAAAAACTAAGAATATGAATTACTGCAGTCACGAAAGCTTTAAATCAAAATTTAACCTATATAATGTTTATTTGGATAAATGTGTTTATTCTGCTTATTGCCCATAATGCTCCACAAAGGTGCATAACAAGTATATATTGCACAGTAGGGCCCAGTGCTTGGTCGTATGTGATGTCAATGCCACTTGAATGATCATTGTGAGCTGTTGTATATCCACTGTTGGATGAAAGCCTCCTTACACGCTATGGCCATTCCTCGTTATCCTGTAATGCCATTATCCGCCTCCCTCCTGTGCATGAACTGATATTGTTGCCTCGTGTTTGGAGTGGTCATTCCCTTCTTTGGCTGCCATTTTGTCAATCAACCATCATCTCTTTGAGCGACTTGTTCTACCCAAGCACAATGACTTTTCTCAACAATCGACTTGATGATGGCTCTCATTTTGTGTTTGTTCCCTCATCCGTGTAGAGTTGCCAACTTTTTTTTTGCAGATCAAACCCAGACATTTCTCAGTCAGCCTAAGTGTAAAAAAACTGCAGTTTAATGGTAGAAATTTGAGGGTTCTTTATTCCTCTCACACAGCTTAAAAGCCGTGATCTGAACGTGGCTCTCTCACTCCAGCGCTGTCCTACCAGACAGTCTCGCCTCCTTCACCTGATGAAGGCCGCTTGTGTTGTGGCCGAAACGTCGTGAGAATATTATTGTGTTATTTTATTTTATCAATTTATTATTTTATTCTCATTCTACGTGACTTTACCGAAAGAACCAAAGAAGATAATGGTAGAAAGTTCCACACGATACCTGTACCAGATCTCGGTACAAATCAATTGCTGCCAACTAAACCCTACATCCATGTGTCTTGGTGCGGTGTATACGAGGAGATTACACTCAGCATCGCCCATCTCTTGGTGACACTTTGCAGCCCGAAGCCTATAACATCTGGCAAGCCCTGACAGCCACCGATCCAAGTACTAAGCAAGCTATACCTTGCTTATATTCCAAGATCTGATGAGATCGGGCACATTTAGGGTGATTTGATCGTCGGAAATACGTGGCACATAATTAGCGGGGAGATAAATCATTCGCTGCGAGAAATGAAGTGGCTGCGAGTTTATTCATTTTCCTTTGGTCCTCTTAATGCAACAACATTGGCAAAAAGTCTCGTCGCTGTAGGAACGCTGCTCAACGGCGGGGGATGATGGGAGATTAATTGATCAATTTCATTCAATACCCCCAGCTTCAGTGTGACCCCCCCCCAAGCTCCCACACTGACATCGCCTCGCTTCATTTCTTCCCGCTCCCTTGATCTCTCGCGGGGGGCTCGGACGCGGAGCTGTGCATTTGGCTTTCACGGCTCGGCTGGACGCTTCGGCAACGAGGCTCAAACCGAGCGGCACAAATGTGGCTCAGTGCTTCGCGCGCTGGGTTCTCGGTCGCCTCCTTTGTGGCCGACGGCTGATGCGATGGATTTCCGGTGCGCGCCCCTTTTTCTCGAGAGATTTACTGCCCAATGCTTGGGGGGGGGTCGGTGTCCAAAGGTGGCCCTTTGTGGGGGGAGGAAGGGAGGGGATGGACAGCCAGAGACACGGGTGTACATTTTGGAGGATGACGGCACCATTCCTCTCCACGGCGACAATCAGTGCTATTCTAATCCCCGGATGGCGTTTGATTGGGCAGTCGCGGACCGTATGCAACGTAAACAGAGAGTCCATCCGTCGAGTGCCACAGATTCGCATGCCAAATTTGAAAAGTATGCCCTGTAACTGTATAGGTTGAGTTAATTGTACAGGCCGATATAACTTTGATGGTACCAAAGTCAACCTTTCAGGTGCAAATGTAATCTCGACGGCCTTTCACCTTTTTTTTTTACAAAAGAGAATCGAAATGATCATTATACTACCGTACGCAATCCAAAATGAAGATCACGACTAAGGCCACTGCAGCCACCACACTTGGCCAGCACTCTAAAGTAGTTACTGTGATTCTGATTTACAAACCAACTGACTTAAGACACGCTTATTCATTGATTTTTTTTTAAAGATTTGTTCAATCCCCGAAATGACATCTCATCAGCCTTGATGATTGATATCTTCTTGGTGGCATTCGTCCAGACAAGGTCACCTTGAACAGATTTCAACTGCTCAGTCTCATCATCGGCAACGATGTACGGTAGCTTCATAAACCGACAGCCAGCTCAGACCTCACACCAGCAAAAAAAAAACGTTGCATGCAACGCATTTGCGCCAGCATGTGCGACCTGTTAAAACGTTTCGAATGAAACTTCTTTGCCTCTCTTCTCCCCCCCCCACCCCCCTACGATGCACTCATGCCTCCAATTGGCCTCTGCAGCAGCCAAGGTGCTCATTCCTCCATTTTTACTTCTTGTGGCATTAGTAGCTGCAGACCCC